CTTGCAACGTTAGCTGGCCAATTTGTGCCAGGTAAGAAAGAATTTACGTAACGACCTGCAGTTAGTATTACAGAAAATATAAAAAACATCATCATCATGTGCGTAACATCTTCACCCATTTACGACTTAAACATTTTCCAAGATTATTGTTACCTTTTCTACGTCGTAAAAACCATTTACGATTATTGCTCTCTTTTGGCATCATAATGATTCTTGTTGGGAAACATTTATGATCCAGTTACCGGTTTTTTTCCCCTGATGATTTTTTACATCTTCCGACGTTATGAATAAGAGCAATAACATTTTATGATTTCTAAAACTGATTACGTTTTTTTTTTATGATTCTTAGTTTATAGAAAATGCATATAGATGTTTCTGATTCATTCATAATAATAATAATGACAATAAAAAGACATTTATGATGATGATGACAGTTGTTTCTCCTTGGGAATTGTCATAAAGAGACATGATTATTTTCTCGTTTGACTCATAAAATTACATTGATTTTTATGGTCGTAAATGTTTATAAGTGAATTCTAAAGAAGGTAGTTATTGCTGATGATGATCGTGTGAATCGGCTTTGAGGAGAATCATCATGTGTTTTACACAATTTTTTAACATTAAATGATGCTTTATTTAATAATTTAATAAAAAGTTATCATCATAAAAAGGATCTTTATGATAGTTTTTTCGTCTCTTTCTCTCTCTTTCTGTTGTTGTTGATGATTAGTAGGGTCTCATGAAATTATCATTATCATCATTGTATATATTTATACATTAAAATAATTAAAATATAATTTTTTAAACTTTAAACTCTGTTTGATTTAACACTAATAAATAGAAATTTATGTTGATAATTTTTACTACAAGGGCCACAGTAAAGATACATTTATGAATTTTTATCGACTCCATAAATTTTTTTTATTTTATGACTTATAAACAAATAACATGTGTTTATTATCAAGTATGACGACTATATCAGTAGATATTCTAAGTATTTTTAATAATAATAATAATAATAATAATAATAATTTAACAAAAAACATGAATTTTAACACAGTTCTTCTCGATGACGATTTCTCTTCAGGAGCCATCATTATAGAGAAATTCACGATACGGAGCCAATTAAAATTTTGATTTTATACTTGTTAATATTGAAATTTTTTCCATTCCAATCTCTCAACATCACTGTCAAATTGCATACGTTTTCTTACATTGCAAATAGTAAATCATTCGTATCATTTATGTTTACCATCAACCATCGACAAAGCGTACTGTACATCATTAATATTCTTGTTAAAAAAAATATATATAATGTCGAGAAGAGAATGGGATCCATTCTTCACCATTCTTCAGAAGCAACGTCATTATTTTCCTTCAGAATATTTTTGCATTTTAACATAATAAACATGATTTTATTGACCACTTTTCCGTTGTGGCACTGTAAAGCATTTACGAATTCCCGTTGATAAGATATTTACGATGTCAAAACAATCTTTTACACGAGTTGAATATCTTTGACGTCATGAATAAAACATGGAAGTAATAAATATCACAGCAAAATTAAGTGACATTGTTTATTATCCTTCGCCTAGTTTTGTAATTGTCTACATTGTTTTTTTTTGTTTTGTTCGTTTGCTTAATGTTCTTAACTAACTTGTTTGATTATTTCGGTTAATTTTTCATCTAAATTATTTATTTGGCAATGTGAATATTCGTAAAAGTGAATATATACTTGATTAATAATAACTTAGGTGAGAAATAATCACCCTCATATTAATTAATCATCATACAAAAATTCATATATTTTCATTTTGATAATGATCTTTTAATAATGTTATTTATTAATTGTGTTTATGTATGATTCATTTTTAAAATTATTTTTAATTTATTTGTGCTGTTGTTTATTTTTTAACTAAATGTAATTTTAAAAAATGTTTTTTTTTTTTTTAAATTACATTTTGGTGTCTTCTGATGGCATTTCGCATAAAAATAAATTGTTTTTGTGAGTGTTTTTATAAATATCTTTTTGTATTTTTGACGAATTTAATACATATTTAGCTACAATTTGGGAGGGGGGAGAGAAAATGAAAATTTTTATAAAATCACTCGACAACTTACTACTAAATTTTGTTTAAAGCCGGAGGGGAGGAGGGGAAAAAACCTATCTTTAATTAAACAAAAATTATTCACACACAATTTAGCTTGAATAATCGCATTTTATGCCACAGAAAATATCAGAAACTCCTCTAACTTAAACTTATTGTTCTTAAATTGACTTTTTTTTCAAGAAAATAAGAAAAAGAAATTCTTTTTTTTTCTTGCGTTTTTTTTCTTTACCAAATTAATCCTTTAACTTTATTAAAAGCATTTTTGCATGCAATGATGCATGCAATTCATTTCATTCACTCTTTAATTAAAGTCGTATTATTTTCCCTCTTCGCTTTTGATTTTACGTCTGATTGGTAACGCAAATGGAATTTTTGCATATTTTCATACGTCAAAAAAAATTTTTTCCCTCCCTCCATTATATAAAATACATAAAAATTTATGATAATATCTGAAATAATTATTTTGCAATTTAGATATTTTTGTATAATTAATAAAAAGTAAAGACAAGTTACTATCGTGTAATTGAATTTTTAATTTTTTCCCTCCCTCCATTAACTTATTTTCTTGTAAAATAAAATTCTGAGTCCTGGACTTCTTATTTATTTAGAATTTTCAATTTTCAGTTTCCATAACAGTAAGAAAGAANTTTTTAAATAAATTTATTCATGAAATTTGTTGTTTTAAACTTTTGAGCTGAACGATAGTATTGGATGGTGTGGCGCTGCTGTTAGTAGCAGCGCCACCACCGACATAGCGTCAGCAGCGCCTCTAACGCTAACAGCGCCACTATAAGCAACCGTTGCATCAACGTCAATGTAGATGACGCTGCAGGTAGTAACCTACAGCGAGTTTTATAGCAATAGCAACAACAGCAGCGCCACCATTAGCAAGAGTATTAATAACAACATTAACAGCTCTCATACATCAGTAAACATAATTTCATTCAGCTAATGTTAAAATTTTAATTACGGCAGCTTATATGCGTTTCTGTTATTTTTCCTAAGTACTTTAAATCGTACATGTTATATACAACGAATTAATGTATTTTAGCTATAAGACTTAGACGTGAATGCAGAAAACTTACCGCTTTAATTTTGCTACTGGGTATTTTAATTTTTATCATTTTTTTAAAAATAATTTTTCTACTAAATTTTCCATGTTTACACATGACTCTACTCAACTTCTATTATTTTTTTTCCAGCTGATATTCGACCCCCACTTGTATTTTCCCCCCTGTTTTTTTTTGCATTTTAATTTGATTCTGTTTGCAATGTACACGCTTGTATTTTTATTTATTTGTTTGTTTCTGCAAGTTCTCCTCTTTCGTTTCTATTTACACAACTTTAACTCTTACTTTTATTTGGATTTAAATCCTTTGCATATTTTTTCATTTATGTTTTTATTTCTCTGCATTTTTATTTATTTTTCTTCGATTTCTTGCATTTTATTTTTAGTTTTTCATTTTTTTTTTAAATGAAAAAAAAAATAGTTTCTACATGTTTTATAATTTGAACTTCCAAAAATTATAATTTAATTCTTAAAATGTTAATGTTTCTTCATTTATAAACATGAAATTTTATGGATTTTATTTTAAAGAATAGGTGTTTACAGCTATTCTTTAAGAACTATTAGTCAAATCTCAAGTATTCCTACTGTGCTCAATATGCGCTTTCGATGTATGGGGCAATTTTAATTTAAAATTCATCCATTAGGGCGAAATATGGCGCTACCGTCTCCTTAATGTGCATGTTCCGTATGTTTTCTAAGGAATTTCGAGTATTAAAGGATTCGTAAAACGTTCTTCACAATTATTCGACAGGTGAATTGTCGTGGTGCTCACTTTGCTTGATCGTGTATAACGCACGATCAGACAAAGTGTCAAGCTATTCTATCAACGAAACGGTAATGCCAACTAGGCACTTAAGGAATTTCGGAAGCTTAGAAGGTATACGGAGAGGTCCTCTGAATATAGAAATCTTAAGAAAATGAAGTAAAGCATGGAGATGAAGGGCGCATAGAACCATACGTTTAATGCATTCGTCAGTTCCACATTCCATAGACTATTTGTAATTGAAATAAAATTAACCACGCTTTGTTTCTTAACTCCCAAAATTCGTTAGAAACCGTACGTAATATGCACATTAAAAGGACATCAGCGCCAAATTTTGCTCTAGTGGCTTAAATTCGAAATTAAATTTTTTTCTGAAAATCGAAACCGCATCCTCGGTATAGAATATATGCGAAATTTGGTTAAGATTAGACCAATAGTTCTTTCTACAGAGAACTCCGAACACTTACTCATTAATAAATGAACATTATTAATTTATTGTAAATATTTATTTATTTATTTAGCCAAAAATATACAGTAAATGTTTGTGTTTTTTTAACAATTGAAAATGTTTTATAAACGAGTTTAACGCACACTTTTTAACATTTTCTTCTTTTTAACTTGTTAAAAGTACAGCTTGTAACGTAATACATCATATAAAAACAGTCACAAATATACTTTTAATAAGTATTTAACGCTATCGACTACCTTAACAATCGATACAATGAAGGAGAAAAAAGTTTTGTAACCTTATCTAAACTATTTTCCATCATGTGGCTCCTAATAGAAATTTTATAAAGCTTTACAACCTGCGGTCAATAATGTCGGAAATTGAGGTCTTCATCTAGGGAGCGACGATATAACATATATATATATATAGCCTATATATACTTTTTTCTGTTATCAATAAGTAAAAACCTGACCAAACTCTGTTACTGTGTTAAGTAAGTTTTGAAGAGATGACATTTTATCAGAAAATAGTTTCTGCTAGTGAGTGTGAGGAATACAATTTTTACGCCTCACGAATTTTTATTTATTTTATTTTTATTTTTATTTTCAGGATGGTAGACTTCGTGATACTGTCAGTATGGGTGCTTCTGATACACCGCTGGAAGATAAAACCGTTACTGTTGTACATGGACCCGATTTAGTCAACGTTAGCTTCATTAATTTTTGCTGTAACTGTAGGCAAGTTGCTCTGGTAAGTTTGCTGTTTGCCTCCTTGACGCATGTGTCGATTTTAATCCGGATTAAATTTATGCAAATTAGTGTTACTTAAGACAATTTCTAGTAGCGTGAGGATGATGACTTTTAGTTTTAAATAAATGAGATTTTCGGTTTTTTTGCGCTTTCGAAGCGATTTTTTTCTTGTTAGCATTGTTTTTATCATTACTAATGCGGTAATTTTAAATCCAAATTAGCCGTATAAAGCATTCACAATCATTGTATATGTTGTTGGATCCATTTTTTGGCTCCTTCCACCCTTTGGACACTCCCATTTCTCCATATTCATCTTATGTTAGGCCATGTTTATAATGCATCTATCTGAATGATGAGGGACGAGGCTCAGTGTATCTGGGACATACCATCATCCGAAAAATTCTATGCTTTCGCCCGGTTTCGATCCCGTTTTCCCAACCTTAACCGCCTCAGTCATCTGACCCCGATTTATTATTGTTAGAGTCAGTTATTATTATAGCTGTATCGTGTTTGCGCTACTGTAATACTATAATTTCTCATTTATAATTCACCTCTTTGGCAAGAATAATTCATTATAAGCGAGTTTAATTGTATCCATAACGGTTTTAATACTATTAAACTAAAACAATATTTGTAAATAAAGTCAAATGTACTTGTTGATTTAATTAAACAGAATTTAGTTATGAAAATACACAAAAAATCATTTAATTCTATCCAGTTTTAAACTCGTATAAATTTTAATAGCATTTAAATATTTATTCATTTTTGTTTTTTTTTTTAATTTGGCAACACTTTCAAAAATATTTAAATAATTCTCGTATAAATCGAATAATTGCGAGAATGTTGTTATAAGTATAGATGTAAATTGAATTAAACTTTATTTAGTTTTAATACTATTAAAATAATTTAAATTTGAACTAAAAATATATTATTTTAACCGTTTTTCAGACGGATTTACTACGTATTTATTCAAATAATTTAACGAATAAAACGAGAAATGGCGAGAATCCTATGTTAAGTGTTGCCAAATGATAAAAAAAATTTGAAAACGATAATAAATTGGGGAAAATATTTCAAGAAAGAAAACTAAAACTGAAAATAACCTTTTAACCTTTTTGAAAGAACCTTTTCTCGCATTTAAAAGAAAAAAAAGGGGAGGGGGAAAGTAAACTTTAAAAAAAATGATAGGTTATATCTTATCGTGACAATCCGAAGGCTCTACAAACAAGGTATGGAGCACCTGTTAGTTTCTTTTGGCAGCTTCCCCTTGCTACTTCGATCCAAAGTCAACACGAACATGCTCACATATGGCACAAGAGATTGATCTGAGATAAATATATAATCTAAGAACCACCCCGAAATATCGAACAAGTGAATCTTAAAAAAAAAATCCAATTTTCTAGTCCGATATACTTTTCTAAAAAAAGTTGTCATTGGCACACGATTGTTAAAGAGAACTTATGGTTAGTTTTTCGATAGTAATAGTCTGCAAGAGCCGTGTTTGTGACAATGTATTCGAAAATATATGATGCTATTAAGTCTTTAAAGGCTCACCCCCGTTTTTTTTTCTATTGTGGTTTGAATAATTGAGATGCCAAGAGTGGAGACCATTTATATAAAAAAATATATTCGTAAAACATGTTTCTCAGTTTTTGTTGTTAAGAAAAATGGTGTGTGCATTGTAGAGAAATGCCATATTTTACTATAACAGTATACTTAATGCTACAGTAATAACATGCGTTAATGTGATAAATGTTACTCTTGAAGCTTTATCTTAAAGAGATTAATCAATTTCTAGTTTAATGTCAGTTTGGATGAATAGGATACATAATATATATTAAATAATAATTCGTTATAAGCGAGTTTTTAACGCCGAGTCTGAGAAAATGATAGGATTCGGCGCAAAAAATGGAAGAAATATTCATTACACATCGAACATGATAAAAATATGAGTATTTTATAAGCGAGATTATTTTATTTTAAACGTATTCTAACATACCTACAACACGTAAAAAACTTTACCCTCTATAACGTTTATTTCTCCATCAAAACCCGATATAAGCATATAATGATTCAACGTAATTTTCTCCCCTTTGCTACTATTAATTATAATCACGTTCGTTATCGAAACACTAGAGAATTATCCAATTATTTAATTAAAATTATCAAATGTATTCGTCATCGTTTACCTTCTATCGACATGTGAAGTTGAAACGAGTGATGGAGTATCATCGTTCTATATATAACACACGCTACTGTACTTATTTATCTTACTCGCTTCTATAGAAATATTCCCTTAGTAGTAGAGTATCGATATTATATTAACGTGGAAGAACGGTTCGAATTTCTATTAATAAATCTAATCTATAGATTTCGGCCATCTTACAGACGTGAACATTTTTCTATTAAGGCATTATGTTGCAAATATCACGCTTCCATCTTGTTTATTGTGTTGCTAATACCTACTGGAAAGGTTATTTTATCCATTTATTACAACAATATTAATGCTACACATTTAGAAGTATTGGAAACTTTCTGGTGATTAAATACAGCGCGTGATTCTTCCTTCGCGCTGCGCTTCGTATTTATGGAATTTGGCCTTATGCTGTTATAGTAACAATAGAATTTTGCTCAAGTAATGTAAATTTTAATTAGATAAACTAGAAAAGTATGTAAAGTGAACTAAGCTCTCTTAATTGAACTCGTGCTGTTTCTAATTATTTGAGAAATGTTCCTCATCTCATTTAAATGCTTTCTTTGGTCACGCCATACTAGTTACGCTCTTCTACCTTAATAATAACGCATGTTTTAAAGAATTAAATAGATTTATAGAATTAAAATTGTACGCATTTAGCTTGTAAGCGTGTTTAAATTTTAGTTTATTTTATAACTTATTTGTTTTAGAAAGTATTTGCGTGACGCGTCGCGCTGTGCGTGCGTGCGATGGACTTTAAACGATAGATTCTTTCCCCCCTCTTTTTTCTTCTTCTGTTCTGTAAAACAGTTTCAATTTTCATGTGCACATATTTTATTTAAAATGTTTTTTATGAATTGAAATAGAAAATATAATATTAAATCGTTTATCGCGAGTGTCGCGTCGCGTCGCGTCGCGCTCTCATCGACAAGTGATTGAATTTTTGATGATTATTAAAGATGATTCTATAATTTTTTCATCTTAAAACGACTTAGATTCGAAATTAATGAAAGCGATAACCGTAAAATGACGAAAATTGAAGAAAAATTGATAGTTATAAGGTAACAGCTTTATCATAAGAAAGATGGAAGATGATAAATGATCGGCGAGAATTTGAATAATCTGTAAAATTAGATAAAATAATTTAAATTTGCTGGAAATATTTTTCTTTTAAATTAAAAAAAAAAAAACTTATTTCAAAAATAAAACCGAAATGATTTTTTTCTATATATATTGTAAAATTTCTGACGTATACATGACGAATTCGTAACGTATATGTACGCGTCACGTATACGTCACCTTACACGAATTTTAACGTCATTTAAATCTCTTCTTTCACTTATTCATAAAGAATATTTCTATTTTACATAAGCTTATATATATATTTATTTAAATACGTTATTTATAATTTTACTTCGTCTGTATGTGTGTTTGTCACATCATTTACTACATCGCTGTGAATAAGTTATAAAGTTTGTTTTGAAAAATTGTAATTTTATGAAATATTTTCGCTTGAATTTTTTTATTTTATCATATTTTTTTGGCAGAGTAACATAATAAAATGGCGGCCGTTCGAAATTTTAAAATTTCTAATAAATTTAGTCAAAATTCTCTGAATATATAGTAGACCCCCTATAACACTGTTGATAATTCCGTTTTATATGAATTCCATGTTGTACGAGTCACTTAGATTTTACAAATACGTGTGACTGGCTGTGAACGGCTCACGTATTTGTAAAATCTAAGTGACTCGTACAACATGGAATTCATATAAAGCGGAATTATCAACAGTGTTATAAGGGGGTCGACTGTTATTTTACTTATTCGTCTGTTAATTCAATGGTATGCATTATTGTTTGTAAAATGATAATTTCAAATTGAAGTTCGTCCATGAATGAGTATCCCATTTTTTGGTGTCATAGGACGACGCATACATTGTTTTCAGTATAACTTTATTATTTTATCAAATATGTAGGCTATACTAAGCACATACTTACGTATAGTGTATATACATACACACGTGCACATACATACGTATACACACATACTGTACATTCATATGAAATATTAAAAGCATGACAATTAAAGAACACCTAATTGTAATTGTGACTATAAATACCGGCAACAGACAGACTTACAGACAGAAACATTTTTCATATACAGAAAAGAAGAGGGTTGTAACGCTTCTACAGTTGTGACGCAATACACAAAACAAAAATTCTTGTCTGTTTCTGTAATAAATTTACAAAACAAATTCATGTTATTTCTTCAAAAATATTATTCTAATTTATGCATCAGAGAGTATACTTTGCTCCAATTCCCTTTCGGATTATACGTAGTAAAAGAAAATAAATTATTTGTATACAAAAACAAAGAGGAAGAGTTAATACAAAATATATAATTTGGGAGGAGTCGAATTCTTTAAAATAAGTTAGAAAGTTTGGGCGGAGTTTATCGACAAGTAAATATAGCAAAGATGGATGATCCGGAAGTGAAGAAAGGTTACTAGACTTATTTACGTAAAAAGAAACTGTAAGTTACAGGTCGAGTAGCGTGAATAACGGGAAATTACTCGAAATAAAAAAAATATATATATATATATTCTTGCAGAAAATTATATTCTACAACTCTCAAAATCCGGGGAAAAAAGAAATCCAATTATTTTAAATGAGACCTTATCAATATTTATAGTTATATCTACGCCATAGAGTCTGGAGGAAAGGAGGAAAAATAAGAAGAAAAACTGATTCCTGGAGAGAAAGTTATCAGAAGTTATTGTTTTCTAATATTGAAACTCTAATTATATA